GGTTGCGTTTTGATTTGGTTCGTTTTTGTTCTTTCTTTTTTCGTTTTTGTTTGTGTTTTTTTTGTTTGGGTTTGTATTTGTGTTTTTGGTTGGTTTTGCGTTTGGATTTGGTTTGTTTTCGTTTGCTTTTTCGTTGGTTTTTTTTTTTTGGTATTGGTTGGTATTGGTGTTTGTGTTTTTGGTTGGTTTTGCGTTTGGATTTGGTTTGTTTTCGTTTGCTTTTTCGTTGTTTTTTTTGGTGTTGTTATTGGTTGGTATTGGTGTTTGTGGTTGTGGTTGGGTTTGTTGTTAGGTTTTTGTTTTCGTTTGTATTTGTAATTGTGTTAGCGTTATGTTTGCGTTTTGTTGTTTTGGTTTTGGTTGGTTATGGTTTGGGTGGGCAATGCCGGGTTTATGATGATTACTAAACACACAGGTAATGGTCTTTAACAGAAAGGTTTTTCACAGAAGCCAGAGCAGGGCCTGGCCGGGACGGCTAGTATAATAAAAAGTAAAGAAGGCGGGACATTCAGGGCGTCAAGCGTGCGTTCTGCCGCTAGACCACTTCACTCCACTGATTCGCGTTAGGCAAAGTAACAGCGGCTGGGCATAATGCTGAACACACTACCCCCCCCCCCCTCCAATATATCCAGAGATAATTTAAATTAATGGACTCTATTTCGTATGTCTCATGTATCTGGGGTGCGAACTGGAGATGATTTATACATGTTTTTGTTATAACAAAGCAGTTTTCTATAATCTTTATTACTTTGTAATTGGCTACAAAAGAAACACCGAACACAGAAGAGTGAATGTAATAAAATGATTTTGATAAAAGGGTGTTCAAATAGAAATATATCCTTCATAAACGGCTCTAACTAATACAAATGTCACAAAATAAAAATAAAAAATAAAAAACATAAATCATTTCGCCCACACTAAATTATCCCACACTGTTACGTCCAGGTTAGTTTCAGATAAACAACAAAGCTTCGTGGCTACCGTCACTACTTTTATTTCGTCTCAAATATATACATTCAAGAGTAGCCCTCGTCCTAATCGTTAGCAACTAACCGCTGACCCGCATTCGACCTTGGGATTACAAGACATAACACACGGGGGTTACTACACAGTAGGGTGAACTCAACTCACACACGCACTCTCCCCTAAGTTCGAGACTATTCTACCCTATTATAACCTGACCTCAAATGACCCGTAGCACACACTAAATTCTGCCAAACTAAATTCTCCGACACTAAATTACCCCACACTGAATTCCCACACACTATATTCTCCCTCACTAAATTATCGCTCACTAAATTCTTCCACACTAAATTTTCCCGCACTAAATTCCCGCACACTAAATTTCCCCACACTAAATTCTCCCACAATGAATTCTTCCACACTAAATTCCGCCGCATTAAATTCTCCACTAAATTCTCCCACATGTAATTCCCCCACACTAAATTCTCCCGCACTAAATTCTTCCACAATGAATATCCCACACTAAATTATCCTACACTAAATTCTGCCACACTAAATTATCTCAACTAAATTCTCCCACACTAAATTCTTCCACAATGAATCCTTCCACACTAAATTCCGCCGCACCAAATTCTCCACTAATATCTCCCACATTTAATTCTCCCAAACTAAATTCTCCCACATTAAGTTTTCTCACACTAAATTCTCCCACACTAAATTGTCCCACATTAAATTCTCCCACATTAAATTTTCTCACACTAAATTATAGCTCACTAAATTCCGCCGCACCAAATTCTCTACTAATATCCCCCACATTTAATTCTCCCAAACTAAATTCTCCCGCACTATATTCTCCCACTTTAAATTCTCCCACACTCAATGCTCCCACACAAAATTTCCCACACTAAACACCAACAATCTCCCAAATCTAAACAAGATACAAAAATAGTCTCCACCAAGTTCGCCCAAACATTCAATTCCCCCATACTAGATTCGATGACACACTTCCCCCACTCCCCACCCCACGTGAAACTAAACATTGACACAGAATATTAGTGTTAGTCCCGAGAGTGCACCAAAGTGTAACACAGTTTAAAGCGGTTTGCTGTCGTCTTCTGTTTCTGTTAAAATATCTCGCGCGTAGAACTTTTTTTTTGTCAGGGGAAATAACAAACAATATTTTTTTTAATGGGAGGTAATTATAAAATTAAACGATAAAAAGAAAAGAAAAAAGTAATAATATATATTAAAACAAAAGTAAGTAAACAAATGTTAAAATTAATTATAAAAAATTAATTTACAAGAAAAATATTTTTAAAAATTGGTGAGTAATAACAAAATTTTAATTACAACTCCTAGAAACTTTTAGATATTAGTCCCATAATCAGTAAAAACTAGTATCAAATAGCTATACTATTAATTCCAAGAAGATTAACCAAGCGAGGGTTCAAGAGACGACTCACATGGGCTATTATTATATCTGCGTATTTACTGAAGTCTCACATAATGTTAGCGCAGGGTCGACAACTTGCGGCCCGCGAGCCCATGCATCCAACCCCCCCCCCCCCCCCCGATGTCATGCTGCAGTTCCATGCAGAAGGATAAATAATTGCATAGTTTCATTTTCTAAATTCATAAAAATGTCATACTGAAAAACAACCTTAAATAGGATTAAAACACTCATCACAGAACAGTGAGAATAGGTGAGGTAAAAAATATACGGGCAGCCGCTTGGGCACCAGGCCCAGCCCCACAGCCGCTGTAAGCAGCACCATGGCGACTATTCCATGTTTGCCACTGCCCAAGGGCCGCCCTTTACGATTGTCGTTACATGGGGAATGTTATTTTATTCAGAATGCATTCCTCTACCTGTCAGTATGCAATAATTTGACCTGAGTGACGAAGTATGCTAGTTATTAGTTTCCTACGGTTGAGCTATAAGGTACTGGACTCTGGGTTCGCGTGGGGTGAAAGATAAACCTTGTGAGAACCGAAAGACAGAACCGAACGATACAGTAATCAAACCGATATCCAAACCAGTAAGTCGGAGTTTGCCGTGTTGAGGCCTGCCTGAAAATGAAAGACACCTACTGAACCAGTGGAGTCCGTAAAGAAAGAATCAAAAAGTTATTGGCTTCTAAAGTGAATTGCGATAGTCCTATAGTTATATTATGTGATTTCTAATTTTATCATCATCATCATCATCATCATCATCATGATCATCATCATCATCATCATCATCATCATCATCATCATCATCATCATCATCATCATCATCATCATTATCATCATCATCATCATTATCATCATCATCATCATTATCATCATCATCATCATTATCATCATCATCATCATTATCATCATCATTATCATCATGTTCGAGACAAAGATACTTGGGACAGATGAAGTAGAGTTCATCTGCTTCTGAAACCTCAGCCTATGAAGAGATAGTGTCGTCAGCACTATGTCAAGCTGTCTTTATTTCCCTAACATGAGTTACGTACCCTTCAGAACTGGGTGGGCAAGTACATAATATTGACTTGAACCCAAATTCGAAAGAGGTTGATGGTTGAGATTAGGTTAATGGTTGAAACTAATGTTTGACCTTGGTGGTTCAATTGTCTCGGTTAACTTTTGTTCATAAGTTAAATGATTAGCGTAAGTTATATACACCAAATTTCAATACGTTAACGTTAGAGATTGTTGTAAGAACTTCACGACTTCATGGGGCGGAGTAGAAGAGCATTCGACTGCTAACACGAAAGTCTCGAGTACGAAAACGGTATCTATACATTTGAACATCCCTGAGTCCACCCAGCTCTGATGGGTATCTAACTCACGTCAGAGAATGTATAGACGCTGGGTATATTGTTGACTACACTATCCGTTTACATGCCGGGGTCAAATAAGCAGATGAACTCTACTTCACTAGCCCCATAGACCTTCATATTAGAAAAGGGAGTAATACTTGACTTTAGGGCTTAACGGTAAGCGCTAGACAGCTACCTGAAAGTCTCGAGTTGGAATCCAAGTTCATCAGTATACAATACCTGAGCCCACCCAGCTCTGGTTGGTACCTAATAATATACAGAGGTCCCAGAATCAGGTGAACTCTACTTCACTTGCCCTATGGACCGTCCGGTTAGAGGGTACAGCTTAGAGGGTACAGCTCTAGTAATCGAATCTTTCACTTCCGTCCGCAGCTTCGCGCATGCGTGGGCCGGAACCAGACATGGCACGAGGACTGCACGAGCACGCCCTGGAGTAACAGGACATGGAGCATCCAGAGGCTCGTCACACAGGTCGACTGTGACGCTTTCCAGGGCACGAGGTCAGAGGTCGACTGTTGTAAGAAGAGGATAGGTAAGCCTCGGGTTCAAGGTTGTCTGATGTAGGGTGGATAAGTATCTGAGTCAAGGTCATCTGAGATAGGTTGAGTAAGTCTAGGGGTCAAGGTCGTCTGATGTAGGGTGGGTATTCCTCATGGTCAAGGCCGTCTGAGGAAGGTTAAATACAAGTAAGCCTCGGGGTCAAGGTTATCTAAGTTAGGTTAAGGGTAGGTTACCATCCTCGTCAAGGTCCATATTCATTTATTTCCATCTACTTATCCATACCCACAAACTCATAACATCTGAGGCCTATCCACGCATCTATATCCACCCACGCATATAATCTCAGATCTATCCATTCATCTATATTGACTTTCCATATCCACGTATCTATATCCACCTATCCACTCATCCATATCCACCCACCTATTTATTCACAGACCCATTCACTCTTCTATATTTACTGTCCATATTTACGTATCTACATCCACGTATCAAGTTATCCATACCCACCCGCCTATATATTCCTAGACCTATCCAATCCATCATATTGACTGTCCGTATCCACGTATCTATATCCACCTATCCACTCCACCATATCCACCAGACCTCAACCAGACCCTGGACTGCTCCGGCGTCAGCAGCTGTTTCAGCTCCAGCTCCCACAACTTCTCCCTCTCCAGCTGCGCCGTGAGTAACGTCAGCGTCATGGACGAGCTTGTGGGAGAGGACTTCTCGTGCACGCTGTACAAGAGGGACGTGGAGAAGATGACGTGCTTCAAGGAATGTGAGTACTGGGAGCAAGGCCCGACTGCTATGGTGTCTTTATGATGCACGTTACGGGACTACGCATTTGTTTGTTTTTTAATCAGCCACGCAGTAGATTTTTTTTAATCAGCCACGCAGTAGATTTTTAGAAATCAGCAACGCAAGATTTTTTTTAAAGATCAGCCACAAGGTAGTTTTTTAAAAGCAGCCACGCAGTAGTTTTTTAGAAATCAGCCACGCAGTAGATTTTGTTTTAAGATCAGTCACGCAGTAATATTTTTTTAATCAACCATGCAATAGATTTTTTTTTAAATCAGCCACGCAGTAGTTTTTTTAAAAATCGGCCACGCAGTAGTTTTTTTAAGATCAGCCACGCAGTAGTTTTTTTAAGATCAGCCACGCAGTAGATTTTTAAAAATCAGCCACGCAGTAGTTTTTGAACGAGCAGTCATGTTGTATTGTAAGACTTTGAGAACGCTGCGCACATAAAATACACGTTGCAGGCCACCTTTTCCCCCTAGAGAGAGCACTGCCCGCCAGCCTCAGTATCGCATGAGGGAGGTGGAAAGGCTCAGCGAGACATGGGTGGAGTTAGTTTCAGCGAAGTAAGGGCAGAGTTTCTTTCAGGCATTTCCTCGGTGAAGTATTTGGATTAGTCCGAACAGGGGCGTAGCGAGGGGGGGCGGGGGGTGCGGACCGCACAGGGTGACACCATTTAGGGGGGTGACACCAAGGCAAAAAATAGCAAAATATAGAGAGAAAAACTTGAGGGGGGGGGGGGTGCAAATCGAAAACTTGAGGGGGGGGGGTGCAAATCGAAAATTTGAAAGTTTGTTCCCGGGAAGGGTCGCAACGCCTCTGGGGGAGGGGGGGTGACACCATTAAGTGCCGCACCGGGTGACACCCGACCTCGCTACGCCACTGATTCCGAAAACCATTACTTAGCCCCAAGCCCCTCGGACGAAATAGAATTTAGTTTTTAATGGAGAATATTCTGAATATATACTTGTCAACCCTTCCCCAACCGGAACTTTAAAAGCCCCTCCCCCAGAAAAAAATGGATGAAAGAAACACTGAGCATATGTGAAAGGGTAAACCCACTTTGCAGAAAATTCCCCCATCCACCAAACGAAATAAGTTTTATACTTTTACCACTGCCCTCTTCCCCCTCTCCCCCACCCCCACCTCCTCCCAGACAAATAAGTAAAAAAAAAAGTCTAAAGCAACCACTGTTACTTTGAAAGTTTCAAATCGAACAAACCAGAGTTTCTTCCAGGCATCTGCCCCCCCCCCCCCCCACCGAAAAAATTATACCCCCCCCCCCGTACGAAATGAAATTTATATAATTTATATAGAAAATATATACTTTTAACAGTGTCCTCCTCCCCCCCACCCGAAAGAAGGTATACCGCCCCCCCCCCCCCCGAAAATTTAAAGTGCCCCCCCCCCCCCCCCCAACCGGAGAAATGAGTCTGATGAAACACTGGAACAAACTGGAAAAGTCGTTAATGTTCTGGATATTTTGTAAGATTCGGCAGCGTAAAATCAATATAATCGATGAGATCATTTCCCCACTGACTGGATGGTTTAATCTCCCCCCCCCCCCCACACACACACTTCATCCTTCCAGAAGTTAATTGTAAAATGATTTTTTTAAAAATGAATTTCATGGCATATTTAGCTGGCTTTTAATAATTTTAATCTTGATTTTGTGCTAAGGTTGTGCAGGGGGTTGAGTATTTATATGTATGAAATGAGAAATTAAGAATAACATTAGAACAGTAGTGTGCTAGGGTTATCGTTAGGTTGGCTATTTATCTATATGAAATTTACATTAAAAAATAGCATTAGAACCGCGGTTCACATTTTAAAACCTGGTAATATATCAAGTTTTTAATTAAACTTATTTATAATTTTCTAAAGTTTACAAAAATCCCGGTTTTCTTTATATGAATATAAAATATATAATTACATTTTTTGGCACAACTAACTATAATTTAATACTCGAATGCATCTATGTTGTTTGTAATTTATGATTAATTTTTTTTTAACCATTAGGTGAGTTTTTATTCAAGGGAATGTACTCTACATTAAACGACAAAGCCATTGGAGCAATCCTGCTGGTTATCTCCCTTACCATTCTCTGCCTGTGTCTGGTCGCCATTGTCAAACTGCTTCACTCCCTTTTCCATGGCCCCATCGCTCTCATCATCAAAAAATTCATCAACGCGGACTTTCCCGGACCGCTGGGCTACCTCACCGGATACCTCGCCATCATCATCGGCGCCGGGTTGACCATCATCGTCCAGAGCTCCTCCATCTTCACCTCCACCCTCCCCCCGCTCGTCGGCATCGGGGTCATTGAACTCGACCGGATGTACCCTTTGACCCTGGCGTCAAACATCGGCACAACGACCACGGCGATTCTCTCAGCCTTAGCCAACACGGACGGCTTCAGAAACGCGTTACAAGCAGCCTTCTGCCACCTCTTCTTTAACATCACCGGCATCCTCCTGTTCTACCCCATCCCCTACCTCCGCTTCCCCATCCCGCTTGCCAAATTTCTAGGCAACTGCACGGCCGAGTACCGCTGGTTCGCCATCGTCTACATGTTACTTTTATGTTAGTTTATAGTAGGTTCATGTTCGGATTATGTTAGGTAGAAGTTTTGTTCAATTTAGGTTTATTTTAGTATCTATATAGGTTCATGTGGTGACCAGTTCATTGTGTGTATCTTCAATTCTTCTTCGTTCTTAATTTTAGTGTTTGAAGGAATCCTCTCCGACAGAACTAAGTATACGTGTCAACTGGTTATGCGCCATATAGGCCGTTGATTCCGATTTCAGCCTGCTTTTCTTTATTTCTTTTTTTTTTTTATGTGCTTCCATAGCCTTTGTCCAACCAAAAACAAACTACAAGGCAGCAGTTGTTTGATTTTGGAGGTCTCTCTTAGAAGAGTTGCTGTCCCCAGCTAACGAGCCTCATCTGCCCGAGGGTTTGAACTCGAGACTTTTCGGTTTAGCTACCATGAGCTTTAACGACTTGACCACGCAGACCCATATCGTGTGTATGACTAACTTGTTTTCTATTTGAGAATTTTATTTAATTTTTGTGCCCAAAATTTTATGGCCATTTCTTATCCCGTGATAACCACGTAAGGATCACGTCAGTTATTTCAGGTTAAATGTAGTCTCACGCCGTACCTTGTATATACGCCACATTTACTTTAAAGTGACGTAGTAGTATTTAACATCGGATCACGGTAAGATAATATCACGTCTGTGTCACGTAACGACTTAAAATAAGATACACGTAACCTAAAGTAAGATCACGTAAAAAACATGTTTCGGAAAAACCACGTTAAAGTGATGTAGTAAGTCGAACGTAACACGAAGCGAGAGCACCCTAGAAGCCAATTAAGTGTAAACAGAACAGACAGCACAAAAAAAAAAAAAAAAAAAAAAAAAAAAAAAAAAAAAACATGTTTTTTTCTAATTAAAGACATTTTTCCTAGACATGAGGTCAAGTGATGGGCGTCGTTCCTACGAATAATGACATGGAAGAGAAAGGGAGACAAACTGATAAATTAAAGGGAAATAACTCGATTTTAGCCTGTAGTTTATTTTTATTTTTTTACAAAAATTAAACGCAAAATTCGCGTTGTTATACTTTGAATTGGCAATACACTATACGTAACGTATTAAAAAATCTATGTGAAGAAAATCTGAAATGCGTTCACTAATCCCACCACACACAATCAAAATGCGTATACTAGCCCCACCTACACACAACGGGAGGTCGATTAATCCCCCTCCCCCCCCCCCCCCTCAAAACAAACACACCCCTACTGATACCTAACACCCCAACTCAACTAACATACCCACAGTAAACCCCTTCACACCAACAGTTGATATAATTGTAAACACACCAATGCAAATCATTTGCCTTGCCTACACTACAACACAATCATTTCGCCAACATTAAATTTTCCAACACTAAATTCTGCCAAACTAAATTCTCCGACACTAAATTATCGCTCACTGAATTCTTCCACACTAAATTCTCCCGCACTAAATTCACCCACACAAAACTTTCCCGCACTAAATTCTCCCCCAATGAATTCTTCCACACTAAATTCCGCCGCACTAAATTCTCCCACAATGAATATCCCACTCTAAATTATCGTGTTTACTGATGTCTCACATAATATGTTAGCGGATAAATGTAATGGATTATTATTGGTCATTGTTAGTGAAAACTATTCCCAACCTTGAGCAAAATTCCATCACACACCTCCCTCCCACCCACACATGAAACTAAACATTGACACAGATTATTAGTTTTAGTCCCGAGAGTGCACCAGGGTGTAAAACAGTTCACACATGTTTGCTGTCGTCTTTTGTTTGTTTGAAAGTATCTTTGGTATTGGAACTTTTTTATCAGGGAAGAAAACAAACAATGTTTTTTTTTTCAAGGGAGGTAATTATAAAATTAAACGATAAAAAGAAGAGCAAAAAGTAGTAATACATTTTGTAATAAAATCCAGTAAACAGACATTGGTATTAATTATAGAAACATAAATCTAAAAAATTAGTTTAAATTACTTGGTGATTTACTACACAATGTTTATTACAACTCCCAGTAATTGTTAATGTTAATCCAATAATAAAATGTTACTGGTGTCAACCAGCTGTAGTATTAATACCAGGAAGTTTAAATGAGTTCTGTTAACATTTCAATATGAATAGCAGGATCCTATGTTTGCGTATTTTTTTAAAATTTTTACTTCAAGATGGCCGAAACCAGACAGACACGACTTACAGAAAACCTTAGCTGTCCTTCTCTCTGTCCTGAGGACAATACGGACACCACGTAAACAACCAGCTGGCCTTTGTCAACACCCGTTTCAAATGAAACTAAAAAAAATGAAACTGTAACTGTTCTTCACAGTGGGAAAAAAACCGGAGATGTGTCACAAAAGGAGAGACCTGTACCTGTAAGTACACTCTTCAAAAAAATCACGCTTTCGGGGACCGCACCTGGGCGGCATCCCAAAAACACGCTACGTGTGTTGATTAAAGGAAATAAACCGGGAGTGATCTCCCCTAAACTTTCTCGAATATTCTAATATAACACTACGGGGGATGGCAACTGGAAATATAGAATTCTAGACATGATTTTTAATCCATTTTAAATACTCAAACTTTTTAAAATAGAATATAATCTCGTAGAAAAAAGATGTGTACACCAAGTGAACGCTAAATAAAGATGTGCATAATAGCGCGCAATATTATTAGTACTTTATAAATTTACATGCGTTTTTTGAGAAATCGGAAATAGCGTAAATTAGTACTTCCGGTCAACGAAAATTACTTAAAATTTGACAGAAGGTAGAGAATTAGATCTTTTACTTACATATCAAATTTCATTTATCTATCTGAAATAGTACTCAAGTTATAGGCTTTTGAAAAATTCAAAGTAGATAAAGTACCCCTTCCGGTTATTGGAAATCGCTCAAAAGTTGATACGGATCTACGATTTTGATAAAACACTTACAAATGAAATTTCATCAACCTAGCTGTAACGGTACTCAAGTTATCGTGTTTACACACGGACACACACACACATACACACACACACAGACAGACACACAGACATACGGACAAGATTGCAAAATTATGTTTTTCCGTATCAGTGAGGTGTAAAACGTCGAGATTTGTAGAAATCTCGATTTTTTTTTTGCACGATTACAAGACTTTCTCTATACTTCGTATATACGAGAAAGTAAAAAAGAACGTCGAATCCACGAATTAATATTAGAGGACCTATTTACGTGTAAACTGAACGTAAATCGTTCTCAAATTCTTAATGTCTACAACTTGGGAAAACCAAGTGAATGGTTTATCTCTCTCTAATCAGATGAAATCTACAAATCTCTACATTTTGCAGTCGTCGCCACAGAAATCGTACCAGCCAAGAACCAGCCCAAGAACCATCCATAGTCACAGCCCCAACCACAGAAGGAGAATAGACAACAGTTCCGGGAAGAAGAAACAAGCCTTTAAGGTAAAATAAAAAAAGACAGTTCACGAAGCAAAGAAAATGAACACATTATTGAAACTGATACTATCCAGAGCCCTACACGGCCAACCCCAACACGCCAAGTCCCAAAGGACTTTTATTTCGTGGAAGACAAACTAGACATTGTAGAACCAAAAGACATCATTCGAAACCGTTTAACCGCAGACAAACCACAAGCCGACTAAATCAACAACATTAAAACATCCTTCAAACTAGTCTACACATGCATAGCACGATATCCACACACCTTACAAACCACTCACTGGGAATAGATTCCGTCACAAAGCAAACAAAAACATAACACATACTGGAAATTCAATAATTCACTATTAATAGACGAGCGCTACATCAAAACTATAAGAGACATAATACAATTTTACACACAGTCATCACAAAAATCAAACAAAATCCAACATTGGGACGATTTTAAATAAGACATTAAGCGTTAAATATGCGTGTTGCATTAATAGCGTTAGGGCCCACATAGAAACTAAACTAGAAAAAACAAAAACTAAGTATGCTTAAGGGAAAAAACAATAACAAATAACAAATAGACTCAATAGAAACGGAACTTTCGATAATACAAGAATATAAATATAGAGGGATACAAATCAGAATCAAAATAGAGCAGATAGGCTCGGAAACCAAACACACCACACTCTCATACTAGAACAAGGCATATAAAGATCAAAACAAATCAAACAAATAATGGACGGAAACAAACAAGAGACGACTGAACCAAGAACGATTTTAAAATCGACTCGCGTTTTTATTTTACTTATCTTTATAATCTTTTCCCCCATTCGTGCCCAATACACAAATGGCAGATAAAGTAAAGATCGTGTTTCAATCACCTCGACATACAGGGAGATGATGTGGTCAGTACTAAGCCTATCCGCCTTAGTTATCTAAGGTGCGCCAGGTACCTATTAGAGCTGGGTGAACTCACGGAGCCCAACAGAACTGAGCCCACAACTCGAGACATTCGGACTAGCAGTAGAAAGCTTTGTGTTTAGTATTATAGCTTAAAAAGTGGACTCTTACTTTTGTAATTTAGCGCTTGTGAAAGCTCGTTAATAAATAGGGTATAAGACATGCTTTTTCTCTAGTATTTAGTCTTAGATGAAGAAATAAATAAAGCACCGTTATACAAATGACGCAATCCGTCAATTTGTCACATAATCTGGTGGTCGATTACACTACACCCAAAAGGGCAACCCCCCCCCCTCCTCAATCCCACTAATCTAAACACCACCACTCAACTTCCCCACAGAAAACCAATCACTCGTAGATTTATTTATATACACACAAACACTCAAATAATTTCCTTTGCCTACACTACAACACCACATTATCATTTCTCCCGCACTAAATTCTCTCACAATAAATTCTACCACAATAAATTCTCCCACATTAAATTCCCCCACACTAAATTCTCTCACGCTAAATTCTCCAACACTAAATTCTCGCACACTAAATTCTCCCACATTAAATTCCCCCACACTAAATTCTCTCACACTAAATTCTCCCACATTAAATTCCCCCA